CACACCTCTAACGAAACTTTAGAGTTGATTAGAGAGTATTATGATGATCGAATAATTAGTCGAGATAGATGGCCACCACGTTCTCCTGACCTTACACCCCTAGACTATTATTTATTTGGTTTTTTAAAAAATTCAGTATTTGCTCAACGGTTACACACGATTGAAGAACTTCAAGAGGCAATTACAAACGAAATTAGGAGTATTACACAAAATGTTTTACAGAATGTATTTAATAATATGAAAAGAAGAATTAATACCTGCTTGAACAACAATGGACATCATATTGAACATTTATTGTAAAAATATAGATATTTTTATGGATTTTATGTAATTTTAAGGTAAAATATTCAATAAAATGTGAAAAAATTCCAATTACTCTGTTATTATATATTGCATGTAACTGTTGTTTATTGCTCTCGGTCATACAGACAATCCTACCATCTAACATAATCAAGCACTTCCAACTGCTTGCATTTGCTTGAAGCAAATTTTTTTAAGACACTTTTCCTGAATTTCGACAGCTAACTAAAATGTTCAGCATAAATTTTTGGGCTGGATCGCTTGCGCTGGATATTCAGAAGTGTGAAAGCAGTAGCTGCAAAATAGTCGTCTTATAAGCATACAGCAGTTTGCTTTGATGAAAAACAGCAGCTTGCAGCGTATCGCTGTATAGCTGAATCGTCTTAGATGCCAAGAATGTAGCCACAATAGTGCTTCTGTTTTAAAATTAACTCATAACGTTTTAAAAATAAAATCGCTGAAGCACTTACAGTCGTTATTCAAAATTAGCTACATCAAACTTTGATTTAAAAGTTTTTCTAATTGTAAATGAAATAAGAATTTTGGAAAAGTTAGGCTAAACCTACATTTGATTCTGTCATCCTCTTTAATAATAATAACAATAATAACATTTATTGGTCCATCAGTATTGCTTAATTTGTGAAATAACTTTGATTTTTGTTAAATAATTGATATTTTTATTATGAATTTCCATTTTGACAGTAACCTAATTTATTTGACGTTTGAACGTAATTATTTGTTTACCATTAAAATCCCTCAACCTGCGCTCATGATTCTAGTATTGGTATCAAAAACTGGTATGCCGCACATCAGTTATCAGTATGAGGCGGCACGGTCAACCATTCTCGATCACCCTATATAAGGATTTTACAAAAATTTTATTTACGATATTGACGATACATACAAACATACATTTCAAAACAGACTGTAGTTTAGAATACACATTTTAAATATGTAGTTTAAAACTGAAGCTTCAAACTTGATGCAGAATCCAGTGGCGTACCCACCTTTTTCTAGGGGTCTCAACGATTTTATAAGAACAGAAATCACAGTTGGCTTCCCACCCAATAAAATATTATCAAAATGTTATTTCGAACGTCTACTGATACAAATAAGACACATACTGCGAAAGTTTTGAACTTTTACTGTTCATAATAACACATAAATGTGTCTAGTACAAATTTAACAAATTGATTTTAACGCAATCCGAATCATAACGGGAATTGTTGACAGAATTTAAACTACGCTCCGACGCGACGGTCATCCCCGATCGCCGACAAAATCCCCGTTTAATATTGTGGAATTAAATCATCCACATTAACCAATAAAATATGGCCGTACAGAAGGGATGGTTGTTTTTTTTACGGCTTAAATATTAGACTTGCATTTTACGAGGGTCACTACAATTTATAGCGGCTATTAAACGCGCATAATCGATTAAGACGAAGAAAAATACAGCACTAAAAACGTTATAATGGCTTAAATATACCCCCCGGAATATATATTTTACAATAAACCTCGCCCGGGCTTTATAGCATTATTAATGTCGAGAAAATCCATTCCCCTGTTACTTGTGAAACTCGGTTTACTTGTTTATTTAGCGTAATGTCGGGGAAAGATCGTATATACATCGACGTTTATTTTGTGTCTCGAATAAATAGGTTTTAGAAAGGTCAGTGATCAAAGAAACCTTCGTCTTGAGGTTTTCAAGTCTTGAAAAATATACAGTTTGTTAGAAGTTTGACTGCCTTAATTTTAAGAGATGATAGAATACATTAAAATAAACAAAAAAACTCGACCATTTCCGAGAAAAAAATTATCAAAATAAGTTCCATTAATTAAGGAATACTGACTAACTGCGCGCATGGAATACCATAAAATACAATGTTTATCACTTTTTTCAACTTCTTTATGCTTAATTCTAAAAAATAATTTGCGTTGTAATAAATTTAACGTTCGATAAAATTCATATCGAGCAATGTGACAACGGCGCAGCGGATAACACGAGGTACTAAGCTGTCGAGCGTTACGCAATTCAGTTGGTATCTGGAATTGGACCGTGTCTGAGTGTTTTTTGCGTCAAACAATAACAATGTTGTCATGACATTACCTGTCACTGTCACGACCTACCATATAATGTCCATGAGTAATTAGACCTCACACGGCCTAATTGGTGAGGTTTCGTTACATTACTTATACGCATTTTCAATATATTATAACTAAATCTGTAAATCCTTACGTAATTGGAAAAATGGCAGAAATGCCTGAAAGAGGTCTAACAATTACAAAATCTCTTATTTTCTTAATAAAAATCATTCTTTTCGTTTTTGAAAAGTATCTTGCTTATTGTTAGAGATGGACCCAACAAACCCTATATGGCTATGCTCTACAGGGAACGTTCTATCCAAATATGTATACAGAGTGTTTCCTTTAACTTAACAAAGTTAACATCCGCGGCCATTTTGTTTGGACTTCATTTGTTTTTCTACTATCATTTTCGAAAAATTCATAAAAAATCGTGCAACTTTTATATTTAACATGTTTTTATAACTCTTAAAACAAAAAATTTAAAGGGTGGGTCAAAATATAGTGAATCACCCTGTACATATTTTTCAAATTCATAATTTGATTAAAAGTTAAGTTCCTCTTTTAAGAGATTCATAATTACTAAAATTCGAGCTAAAATTTAAGCACAACACTATCTTCGTACTACAAAATCCGATACATTTTATTTTATTTTTTAAAAAACTGGAAAACAACTGTCTTGAAATTTACTAATGTTTCACAATAATAGTTTACATTTTTTCCGTAGGACAAGTTTGCCAAGTGCACACGTGGTATACATCAGCTGTGTCGCGTTAGGTTAAGCGTTGTTGTCACGTTGCGATGAAACTCCCCAATATTAATACTCGCTGTATTTTGAAAACTGCCAATCTTACGCAACTGTAATATACAACTTTTTTGTTCATTTATTATTACTCTATCTCATGCTGAAGTAATGACAGTCAAACTTCTTACACCCTGTATAAAATATGGTATAGATGCGAAATAAAGCCATAATCACACTATTTTGAAACAAAGCTTTTACTTAAAAGAGGTATAGCATTTTCGGACCTTTCAGTAAATCCACAGCGTATGTAAACCAGCGAATTCAGATGAGACTAAACGGACAGTTGAGTTTATGTTCTGTTTGTGTTTTCTAGAACCTGAAAAACAGAAATAAAACTGAAACAAACCCAAAATTCTTGTTTCCATCAAGCGGGCTACATTTTGTTCGAGTTTTGTTTTTGTTTTCGGTCCTTTTCCACTGGTTGTCGCGAAGAAGTCAGAACACATTTTTCCAATAACCAACCAACATGTTTAGAGGAGATTTTTTTATTCTTAGTTATGGCTGGTTTATACTGAAGTCCTTGGAAAAAAAGTAAGTGTATATATGTACGGTTGAAGTGTTTACTTGGTTAGTTAGTTAGATTGTTACTAGCCCAGTAAACACCTTAACCGTACACATATATATTTTTTAATAGCTATAATTCATTAATGATTAAAACATTGTTTTTGGGAAGAAGAAAACGCCAACATAGATATTGGGTTGGATCACTTAAATAGAAAACACAACACGACCGTTTCCACTAAACAGACTTGAGTTTCAAAACACGTCAAAACCTTTTGATGTTGCCGCTTTCGAGCGGGACCCGAAAAACAAAACTCCAACTGTCGCAAAACACGACAGTCTTCAAAAAGTTTGCGAAAAGTTACAGTTCTGTTTTATTCGACACAATTTTGTGTTTTGTTTTTGTTTTGTCCGTTTAGTGGAAAACCACCTTAAGACACGTACAGCAGGAATCCTCCACAATTCGCCAGATGTGTATAATAAACAGAAACGTGAAAATTGTGAAATGAGACGATGCACAACTTTTAGATTTAAACAAATATTTCTACAGTGGTAAGTTTCTAAAGAATAAGACTCGATACATATCTCTTGTCTATGTATCTGTCTAAATAGAAAGCCCAACGTATTACAAACTGATGAAATAAGTTTTTACATCAACAACCCCTAAATCTCCAATACTGAACTATTAATAGTTTATTATTAATCATTAAATAAGGCTACAATGTTGGCAGTTTACTGAATGGTACAACATTTTGGTATATTTAAGTTATTAATTTGGCTCCCCTCGTAAGCAGCATCAATACCAACTTGAAATAATTTACTGGCATTATGTGCATTATTGTGCGTGTAAAATTTAAAGTCATCGGCTAACATCAAACATTTAAAAGTATGAATGACTACAGATAAGTTATTGATAAAGAAAAGAAACACGAGCGGGTCCAAATTGGAGCCTTGAGGTGCCCCTGAATTAGATATGTATTAAAAGCTGAGCAAATAATGAACATAATTCAATCATTATAAAAGAAAATAACCCATTTATTAGTTATTGTTATGGTACTATTATAAAGTAAATAATAATAATAATAATAATAATAATAAACTGTTTAATTTGAAAAATAAAAATCTTATTATTGCTGGAATTCCACAAAAAAAAAATAGGAACTTTTGTTCAATCTCTGCCTTAAAAACGTGATTTATCAGAGCCTCGCAACAATGCGAGGCTTATCCCTCGATGACAGGTTCAAACTTGCCAACGACTTACAATCCTCCTTGTTGCAGATGTCCTGACAACGGGCCCAGGGCCACCAGGATGCCTGCGGACGAGGACTATGGCCGAAGACAGATCTCGTTACAGCAGCATGCCTCCCAGTCGCCGTCTATTTCCATTCAGTGTCCTGCTGGTTGCGTTGCTGCACCGGTTGCGGAGCAGCACCGCCAGCAGCAGGACGCCGGCGCGGCGCTGCGCTACGCCAGCGACAAGAACCTGCTGGAGTCCGCGGCGGCGGGGGCGGGCGGCGAGCGCGACCGCTTCGCGTCCTGCGGGAGCGGCGGCTCGGACCGGTTCGGCTCGGAGCGCAGCAGTTCGGACCGACTGCCGTCGGGCGAGCGCTATCAGGGCGTGTCGGAGCGGTTCCCGCTCGGCGAGCGGCCGCAGACGTCCGTGTCGACGGACAGGCTGCTGCCCAAGGATATGCTGGGGGCGGCGGGGCACTGCCAGAACGATAGGCAGGCTTATCAGCCAGAGAGGTGGGTACAATCGACCTTTTAATAATAATAATGTACCTATTTGTACACAAACCAATTACAGGACAAAGTTTATAAAATACAAACATAGATGAAAGAATAAACCAACGTAGAGAATAACTAAAAAAATAATAACAATACATTGATGAAACGATCTACCACGAGTACAATTATATTCAGGGGTCACTGGGATATTTAAACGTGAAATATAAAGTTTTCAAATCCCATTAAAATATATATGACTGTAGTACATATTTTGTTGTAATTACATGTTATTATACAGTACGTGCCTAAAGTATGGAATAAATTCAGTAAAAACGAAACAATTTTTTTTTGGGAAAAATTCTCGAATAGGTCGATTTTTAATTTAAAAAATACATATTTTAGCATAAAAGGCGATTTTCAACCGTCATTTGTTTTCGAGTAATGACGTCATCGGCACTTTTTTTTAAATAGCAGCCCCCTATTTTTTTTCTTGATTCTGAAAGATCGTTTCATTGTCGATCCGACAGTATTAAAATGTTGCCATCTTACATAGGAAAGTTTTCGAGTAAATGACGATTGAATGTTAGAAAACCCAAATCAATTAAAATAAAGCAAAAATGTTATCAAATTTAGTTTTTCGAAATGTCTGAAATTGTTGAATTTTAAATATTATGGCACATTTAACTGTCACACAAAGAATTGAAATTTTAATTATCGGATGCGCGGATAAGACTAGAACGCAGCTGGAAGTTTGCGATTTATTTAATGAAAAACATCCAGATCGCCGTATCGGCCAATCAACAGTCAGTAAGATAGAATCTAAATTTAGAGAAACTGGCAATATTGTAGATATTGTAGATATTCCAAAACCTGGACGTCCAAGCGTTAGTGAAGATCACAAAAAAGAACATTTTGATAAGTATGGTAGATAATCCTCATAATACTTCACGATTGGTTGCATTAAACAATGAAATTAGTCAGACCACAGTACTACGTATCCTGAGGAGGAAAAATATCATCCATACAAAATTCAACTTGTGTAGGAACTCAATGAAGACGATCCCGACCGTCGCTTACACTTTTGTGAAATTATGATGAATTTATGTCAAGTAAATAGAGATTTACACCGGCAAATACTTTTTTCAGACAAGGCCACGTTTTACTCAATGGTACAGTGAACCGTCAAACTTGCAAGTATTGGAGTCGGGAAAATCCTCATTGGATGGCAGAGACACATACCCAACACCCACAAAAATTAAATGTGTGGGCTGGAATAGTTCACAACATAATAGTAGGGACTATCTTCTTTTATTTTACAAAATGACCTTGTTCCAGCGCTTGCAGTAATTTTTCCTAACGATAATGACCCTGATATTCCAGATGACACCATATGGTTTCAGCAAGACGGTGCATCTCTGCACTATGCGCGCCCTGTTCAAGATTTTCTGGACAATTGTTTTCCTAGGAGGTGGATTGGCAGACGAGGACCAATGGAATGGCCCACGAGATCCTCTGATCTTACACCCCTGGACTATTTCTTATGGGGCTACTTAAAGTCCAAAGTATATGTTAATAGACCACATAATTTAGAAGAACTCCAAAATTGTATTATAGATGAAATACACAGAGTTACCCCAGAAATAATTCATAATGTGCAAGAAGAATTTCTACACAGTCTTGCGTATTGTCAAGAAGGTGGCAATTCGAACACTTAATTTAGGTAGAAAACTTAATGAATTGCATTTGCTTGACATAGGAAAATTTACATTTTCTAACATTCAATCGTCATTTACTCGAAAACTTTTCTATGTAAGATGGCAACATTTTAATACTGTCGGATCGACAATGAAACGATCTTTCAGAATTAAGAAAAAAAATAGGGGGTTGCTATTTAAAAAAAATGTCGATCACGTCATTACTCGAAAACAAATGTCGGTTGAAAATCGCCTTTTCTGCTTAAATATGTATTTTTTAAATTAAAAATCTACCTGTTCGAGGATTTTTCCCAAAAAAATTGTTTCGTTTTTACTGAATTTATTCTATACTTTAGGCGCGTACTGTATACATGGGAGACTTCAATAAAACATTAGTATTAGCAATAGGGCAATAAAAAGTTCGCGGAATACGACTAGCTAATCTGTTTGCCAAAAAATTTTACGAAGTTTAGAATTTGGGGACAGTCGATATCGTTACTCAGAAGTGAATGTAAAAACTTTAAACCGTAAAAGTTCCTTCTAAACCCTAAAGAATTAAAATCAAAACGAGTTAATAGTTCGTTGTAATCACATCCCCTGCTGGGATAAATTCCATCAATACGAAATGCTAGAAGCTTTAAAAATCTTTTATGAACGGATTCAACTAATTTAATATAATGATTGTAATATGGATACCAAATAGGTGAGCAATATTCAAGTTTGAATCAAACGATAGTAAAGAAATGTTTTACTAGTATTCGTTATCTTCAAAAGCACGACCTTGTCTTTCTTATTACAAACCCCAATCGTTTTAAGGAAGTAGAAACGGTTTATTGAATGTGTTCAGAGAAACTTTATTTACGTTCGAAGTACATATACACCCAAGTCTTTAGTCGCGTTGGTACGTAACAAAGCTTCGGCATCTATGTTGTAATAAAAAATAATTGAATTTACTTTTCGCGTGTGTAATATTACCTTACATTTCGAAATATTTAAGTTTAAGTTATTAGAAATGCACTACTATGAAACCTTGTTTAAATAGTTCTAAAGAAACATGCAATCACGTAAGCTGTTAATAGGTGAATATATTTTCAAATCTTCCGCAAAAAACAACTTATTGCAGGTAATACAATTGTTGAGATTGTTAATAAATAAAGAAAAGAGTAACGGTCCCAGGTTGGACTCTTGAGGGACACCTGACGTAGTAGGGTAAACTTCTGATTTATAGCCGTTGTAGGTGACATAGTTAAAACGGTTGGATAAGTAACATTTCAATAACTCTACTGCAGTAGCAGTGAACCCGTAACTAGTTAATTTGTATAATAATAATATTTTATGATCTATGTGATCAAAAGTCTTTGAAAACAGTGGGTATATTGATATCGATTCTGCAGTAATAAAATATGAACGGACAAAAAATTGAAAGAATGTCTTTCCCAAGGAAAAAATAAATAAAAGACCTATTTTATATAAGCAAATTCAACTGCTTTTGTTGTTATACAGAGTGACCCATTTGAAAGCGGGCCACCCTCATAACATTTTTATTTATGGAGCGATTTTGACGAATTTTTTTTTGAAATGTAGAGGGGGGAAAAGTGTATTTTGTGGCCAAGCGCCGTCCAGTTCTTTTTTAAACTAACGCCTACTAGATCACATTCAGAGGCTGAAAAATCCAGAATCCATATTAGCGATTTTTTTAGAAAAAATCTGCGTACGCCACTGGATTCGGCGTCCCCTGAAATGGATCTGTACCAAATTTCATGAAAAAATATTCAACATTAACGATTCTGCGGCTAAATTGCTGTCAAATTGTTTATTATGCATAAAGAAACTTTTTATCTAGTAACCCATGCGATAATAAATCAATCACAACAAATATTTAATAACACGTTTAATAGACATCATTATACCAAAATACAATGAAACAGACAGAAAAATGAACGAGAAATTAACATAAAATTTACAAAAAATACAATAAAATAAAATTAACACACATGAATTAAATTAAATTCTGGAATTTTCAACTAAATCTCCATTTAATTGAATGAATATTTTTGTAAATGTTGCCTCTCCTAGATTTTTTTTATGGGGGTTCATTAAAGAAAAAGTTTACTACACTCGTCCAATGAATGCAGAAGAACTGCGCGAAAGAAGAAGATAGGCATGCGCTGAAATTACAACACATCAATTGTCTAATGTTATGGCACACATTCAAAAACAATACAATAAATGCATTCAATTAAATGAAGATTTAGTTGAAAATTCCAGAATTTAATTTAATTCATGTGTGTTAATTTTATTTTATTGTATTTTTTGTAAATTTTATGTTAATTTCTCGTTCATTTTTCTGTCTGTTTCATTGTATTTTGGTATAATGATGTCTATTAAACGTGTTATTAAATATTTGTTGTGATTGATTTATTATCGCATGGGTTACTAGATAAAAAGTTTCTTTATGCATAATAAACAATTTGACAGCAATTTAGCCGCAGAATCGTTAATGTTGAATATTTTTTCATGAAATTTGGTACAGATCCATTTCAGGGGACGCCGAATCCAGTGGCGTACGCAGATTTTTTCTAAAAAAATCGCTAATATGGATTCTGGATTTTTCAGCCTCTGAATGTGATCTAGTAGGCCTTAGTTTAAAAAAGAACTGGACGGCGGTTAGCCCCAAAATACACTTTTCCCCCCTCTACATTTCAAAAAAAATTTCGTCAAAATCGCTCCATAAATAAAAATGTTATGAGGGTGGCCCGCTTTCAAATGGGTCACTCTGTATAAAGCCATTTTTGACACTTGCAAAACTACATGAACACTATCGCAACAACGATAATACTAAAATCGGATTTCAGTATTCGGGGCTAAGTGGGCGAAAAACTCTTAGAGACTATAGTAGCCCATCGATGTAAAGGTTGAAAATACTACAACTTACATAATTTTTTTTCTCGGGAACTATAAGTAATCTAATCACAATTTTTTTTGGATAAGTTGTGAATCACCCTGTATTATGCAACGATAATTTAATGATAATTATTAAGACACAAGTATGAGAATTACGATACAAACCATAAGCTAATGTGGTAATGAATGTAAGTGTTTTAATAACCTTTAATGTGAGTTGCATACACTATTTTTCCTACAACCACTCATAATAATGAGAAATAAGCACTTTACTTTCAGAATTTATTAAATTTTTAATGAAATTAAGAGTTATAACTCAGGAAATATGAAGGAACCTTTATTACGAACAGAAAGAGCATAGAAATGTCGGAAAATCTGGACTAACTTAAGAAAAAGTTTAGAATTATTAACAAAAATCTG